CCATCTCCCCTTCCCCCACGGCCCCTTCTCCCATCTCCTCTCCCTGCATCTCCCCTTCAAGCATCTCCCTGTCCCGCCCCAGGGCTTCCTGAGGTCAATTCCACCAACTTACCTAGTCCCAAATTTCTGGGTCAGGACCAGGTCAGTGACGTAACAAATGTGAGATGAGCCCTCATTTACTCAGTGCAGTTGTGACTCTTTTCAGAGTCTTATTTAAAGATTTGTTTCATTTCTGCTTAAGAAGTCTTGTCTTGGAATGTCTGTTGTGACACGCTCTAGGGAGCTGCACAGCTGTGCAGTCTCTGTCACAGCTGCAGGAAAGCAGCTAGGGACACTACATAAGCAAACAGTGCGGCTTTGTTTCAATAAACCTTTATTTATAAAACCATGACAAAGCTGCATTTGGCCCTTAGGCCACAGTTTGCAGATCCTTGATACAAATGTAGACTTTGAAAGCGAGTCCTTTTTAACAAAGTAAAAGTAGTATATTTTTTAGTAGCCAGCCATTTGAGGATGATTTTTCTTACATTAGTAATATTTTCTTTTTGAAAACATTTTTGCTATAATTTGTAATGGAATGGAAAATTAATGGCGGTGCACTCTGTAAATAGGAGATTATGTCTAAGATAAACAGAAGTGGGTAACCTAAAATATACTAAAGAATAGTCAACTAGTTGAGTTTAAAATTTTGCCATTATTATTTTAATAACAAAAATTTTGACTAGTCACCCTCATAAAGCAAAACTATAACATATTAGGGTAAAAGTGATGAAATGATAAAAGTTGCTGAAACATAATATTGTTGAGGGAGGTGGGAGGGAAGTTTTCCTTAAGAAAAATTTTAAGTGGCTTATATTAATCCCAACATTATTTTAATATGCATAGTTTAGAATTTTAATCATTTTAGGTCTTCGTTTTTCAAAATCAGTTGTTTCGTCACATTTTTTTTGTCCTCCTATGGTATCAGCTTTGTCTGTATTACACAGAATTTGGAAAAGCACTGATGGCATAATATGCATCATCACTTTTTAAATATTTTTTGGTGTATAAGTCAGTCCCCTCCACATTATAGAGATTTGGAGGGGTGGTAATAATTTTAAAAGTGCACATTTTGAGGTAGAACAGGTTGTTGCAGCAGGTGAAGTGACTTAAGGAACTCTGTTTCTATATTTTGAAGGTGAAACGGGCCCAATGGTGGCTGCCACTCTGAAACTCGGGATTGCCGTCTTGAACGGCGGGAACTCCACGGTGCAGCAGGTGAGGCCTTCAGCCGCTCACACTCACTTTGCAAACAAGGACCATTAGTCCTCCTGTTGACTGCGTCAGTCATCGTACAAGCACTATCAATTGTACAGTGTTTCATTTTCTATTTAAATGTGTCTTTATTTTATGGTCATCGTGTCTCAGCATCCAAATATCCTCTAGGTACACCAAACTGCCCACGTGGGCACTAACTCCTGTAGAGTCTTAAGTCACAGTGTGTGGTGTCACCTGGCTGCGTTTCACACGACTGAGTCAGCACTATGGCTGGTCTATTTCACAGTGAGAAACTGGTTCTGACCTGGGCTTTGCTGGGTAACGTGTTTTCTCATGTTACGGCTCCTGTAAAGTGATTCTGCTAAGTGATTCTGGATTTTGCTATGTATTTGGTATGAAGCCTGCTCCTAGGTTAACATGGAAACAGGACGCTCTGTCAAGAATTACTTCAGTTGTAATTCTTTCTGGTCTCCCAAGAAATGAGAAAAATCCTTCCCAACCAAGTTTTGAACTATGTTCTGTTTAAAAGTTAGACATGATTTGGGCTGGGATTTTAATAACTTCAACCAGTTTCGACAGAGAGTGCCATCTGTATGTCCACCTGAAGGACAACGTCTATGAGTTTGTTAAAAATGACTGTAAGAAACAGACTGTCACAGGTCGTGTGCTGCATACCTTGGGGACATCACTGACATGGCCTATATAGTGTTGTCCTAAACTCGGGAAAAATTCATATGCCAGTTGAGAAACAGCAAGACAAAACATAGCTTAAGTAGTAGATTGTGTTATTCTAAAGCTAAAATCTGTCTCTCATTTTTACATTTTGGCTTCTTCTGTATGAGCAAGAATGGTTTATGAACGTGGAACTAATAACTGCTCTTTCTTGGGCAAGTTTGTGTGAGGCAGGTAAAGGGCTCCCATGACAGAGGGAAAGGAAGGCCAGTGAAAACCTTGGAATGCTTGACCCCAGGTTGCTGTGAACCTCAGAGTTGCTGCCGTGGGGAAGGGCATGATATGCTTCTAGAAGATCTTGAAGTCTAAGAAAAGTGAAGCAGAGGAAACTTGGTGAAGTTGGACTAGGTTAAGTAACAACACAGAATAGCTGAAAAACTAGCTCATCTGTGCATTTTTCTCAAATTGTGTACTTTGCTCTGTGGATGTAATCATTACATTTTAAGTCTAGAAGAGAACACAGATACAGTCTAACCCACGGTTCTTGGCTTTTGCTTTCTAATGCTGCTGGGGTTTAGTGAGGCCTCTGAACTTGGTCAGGGCAATGTTTACAAACAAAGTAACATTGCTCAGGGTTCTTGACAAAGAAGCCCAATGTGTCAAAGCGTGGTTATCAAATATACAGCAGGCTTTGGGTAAAGGCCCATGTGTTTCCTTATGAGCTCATTAAGTAAAGATCTGGTCCTTGGTCTAGTAAATATTGAAAATAAATGATGAATCTAAACATTTTAAAACAGCAGTAGTGATTGTAATGTACTCTGAAAATACCTGGAATTTCTCTTAGTGACAAGACAGGGACTGCTAGTCCTGCTGAGCAGCTGCTTGGCTAATAGCTGAAAGGAATGCTGAGTTTCAGAAGTTAGTGAAAACAAAGATACTTTTCCCATCTCATTTATAGATGTTCTTTTTTTGGTTTCCATAGTAAATTACTGCATGACTTTAGACAAAGGAAAACTAATCTTTCCACAGTATTTGGTAAAAAATCATTTCTCTTGCCTTATGTTTTACTTTAAAAGAGCTTAATTATATAGTATACATAGTCAGAAATTCTTGCAGCCAAAAGGAGCCTCGAGAGATTATATGGAAAATAATACAACAATTAACACATAATAATACAAGAATAAACTCTGTTCTGCATACTCACAATGGTAAACCTACTTTTGCCCACGCTGTGTGTACCTGTTGTTTACACAGCTTTTCTTTTTGCTCTAAACTGTTAGATACATCTGCTGCCCCTCCCTTTGGCGCTCTAAGCCATGTGCTTTTCGTTTTAAAGACCAGTGATGAATAAGTGCTTCATGTTTTATTAGATCAGTAACATCACCACCCTCCCCAAATGGCTGTTTTTCGTGCACCTCTTTGTGTTCAAATGTGTGTGTGTGTGTGTACATACACATGGTAGGTGTATGCATGTATTCTACATGTGTGTGTAGGTATGTGTTCATATACAGACATGTGTGTACATAGGTACATGTGTGTATATAGGTATGTGTGTAAATACATACAGATATGTGTTTATATAGCTACATGTATGTGTATATATATACAGGTATGTGCTTATATAGCTATATGTGTGTATATTTGCATGTGTGTGTATATAGGTGTATGTGTATGTATACATATACAAATGTATGTATGTATACATTTCTAGGTATATGTGTGTAAATGTATATATGTATATATACATGTGCATGTATATAGTTATGTGTGTATATACATGTGTATATAGGTGTATATGTTGTGTGTGTACATACATGTCTATATAGGTATATATTTGTGCACATGTATATACTATATATTCATATGTGTGTGTGTATGCAGCCTTTACATATTTAATTTTATATTACATTTGACTATGATTCCTGAAAAAAGATTATTACCAAATAGTTGACAATTTAGCTGAGCCCTGTTTAAAGAGCACTGATCATAGGAATTATTCTGTATTCAGAATTCAGAGAAGAGCGGCACCTTCATTATGTTAGAAGCTTTGCAGTGCCCTCTGTCATCTTTTCATCTTGTATGTGCTCATTTGAAACCTCCGACACATTTTACCCACCTTTTAAATAGCTGCTCCATTTTGATAGGTAACCATAAGCTAGCAGCAGGAACCACAGAATCTGGACATCATTCCCAACAGGAGGAAGTTAGCAGGGAGGGATTCCCGCCTCTTCTTGGTTTAGGCCTGGCCGTAGAAACTGACTTCTCTCTGTGCCGTCAGCACATCCGTGCGGCTCTCGGGCCGCAGTGCTGGTTGGGGAGCTCGCTTCTGGGGGCGCCTGTGACTGGCGTCCAGGTGGGCCTCTGCCCCGTGGGCCTGCAGTGCCTGCGTCCCAAGAAAGAAGGATGGTTGCCCGGGGCTCGGGGCTTGCTGGTGGTCGTGGAGCTCGCCTGCTCCCTGCCTTGGCCGTGCCCTCACCGCCTCCTGGGAAAGGTGACAGTAGTGGTACCCGTATGCACTGAATATTATCTTGTCTTATTTCAGAGTAGGAAGCGTGGTTTTGTTGTTTTTTTCTTAACGATAACAAGAGTTGTGCTCATTGGCCGTGCTGTTCATGTGTTTGCTGCAGAAGATGCTCGACTACCTGAAGGACAAGAAGGACGTAGGCTTCTTCCAGAGCCTGGCCGGCCTGATGCAGTCCTGCAGGTGAGCCGGCCAGCGCCCGGGCTCCTGTTGGGGGTCTCCGTGACCCAGCACTCCTCAAAGGGGGCGACAGTTACTGTCTTGTTTTCTGCCTGCTTGTTAGGTGCTAATAGCATTTTAATTGCTAAATTACTCAGTGTTAATATGTGTTAAAATAATCCTCCCTGTGCTTAAGTGGGGACCTTGGAGAATTAATATGCATTGTGAAAACGAATGAGGGGTGCATGATTTTTAAAAGAGAAAAAAAGTATTCTGCTTAGTTTTACCTGGGAGCTTGTAGACTATTTCTCATTTTTCCTAAATAAGTGGCCCTTAGCCAACTAGTTTATGGTAATTACTTTCTATTTTCAAGGCAAGTAGAGTCATTCAGACAGCATCTGATAAGGCCCCCGACACACTATGTAATGAGAGCTCCACCTGGAAGCTATTCCAAGGTTACTATAGCTACGCTTAAGTGTGTCTGCCAGCTTCATAATGTCCTCCCGAGGTGGACACTGATGGCTTGTGTTTGACCTCACACGGGCCATCTCTGCGTGGCCCCCGGGAGAGGCTTGCCCGCCACCTGGAAATGCAGCTGGTGGGCATTGAATGGGCGTGTTCCCAGCATCCGTTAGCATTCGGGTCACATTTCAGGATATAGGGTTTTCAGACATGAGCTCCTGTGAAGAAGGAACATTTTCTAAGTCCTCTGAGTGTCTCTCCCTGTTGCAGTGTCCTCGACCTCAACGCCTTCGAGCGACAGAACAAGGCGGAAGGACTTGGGATGGTGACCGAGGAAGGATCAGGTATTGATGGCTCACACTAAAAGGGCCACCTGCTCCCCCTCCTGTCCTGAAATGAGTCAGCTACCAGTTACCTTTCAGTACCGAGAGCTGCAGGGTTTTCTTTAAGTGGACAAAATGCTCCTGTAACTCATGAAAAAGCCCCTAATGGGACACCCACGCAGGTCACACCCACATCCAACTTCCTTATTGTTTCCTACCTATAGCCAGGGCCTCCCCCTGGTTGGGTAGCAGAAAAAGATCCTTATAAAAGAATTATCCATAAAATGAGAAAGCACACGGATGAGCCAAGTTAGAGAACGTGGCTTCCACAGTCAGGCTCTCGGACCCTGCAGGACACTGCTGCCCTGCTGTGTCCCTTTCAGCAGTTACCCCTGTACCTCATGGGTCCAGACATCTTTGCAAGTGCAGATTCTTTAATGAAAGAAATTGAAGAGTAATGTCCATTTAGATGACTCTGATCACATAATTTTCATGTGCACAAAAGTGACCTGCATGATCTTAGAGTTTTTCTCTCTCTAAATACATGTGGGTATCAATTAGAAAAATTAGTACACGGTGCAGTTAAAGCAAAAATAACTATTGTTGCCCATTCATATTTATTAAGAAAAATCCTTGATATTTTTTGTTTTGATTTGTTTTTATACTTCTATGTTTGATTTTTAAATTCACTTAGTTTTTGTAAGGCTCTGTGTTTATCTGTTTTTGTTTGATCTGGTTTGGAGTTATCAGTATATTAGTTTTGAAACATTGGGTCGTCTATAAAACCAATCTTGCTGCAAAAAATAAATTTCCTGCCATCTGCCATTTGTAGTCCACTTGCCTTTCTGAAGTAATTTAGAATTTACTAATCTCTCTATCTCTGTATATTTTTATACAATAGGAGAAAGAATTAGTGCGTATTTCTTGCTGTATTTTAAAAATGATCATTTAGACACTTTCTAATGCTGCTGCTGGTGCTGTGGGTCCTGCGTGATTTTGTTATCTGCTTGGCAGTGGAATGTGTAGGTTCCATCAACAGGTATCAGCCATCCTGTAACTTAGTTGTGTGAGCTGCCCTCAAGGAAAACCACCAGCCACAGATCGCTTAGGTTTTCTGAAAATGAAGGAAAATTTCTTCATGTTTGTGTCAGCAGTCACCATACCTGGCCTGCGGCCCCATGGAGAGCTCAGAGCCTCAGTCTCAGGTCTGCCTCTCGCCCTGAAGTCCAGGGCGTGTCCCAGCTGTAAAATGCCCAAAAGTGAATGGATTCTCTGGTCAAAGTCTGACTTCCCTGTCTTGGAATTAGAAATCTTTTGTTTTTCCTTCAAGTTATTACCGAGTGTCCCAGAGGCCCTGAACACAGTTTCGGGATTCGTTAGTCGCTGCTCATATCAGCTCCCACGGGGGAGTGGTGGTCCAGGCTTAATTTACCGGGTCTCCCGCCCGTTGTTGGCCAGAGCAGGACTGAATACCACCATCACCCCAGGTCAGAAACAGCCAGTGAGAGCGGCACTATTTCCTCTCTCATCTCTCACTAGGAGGTTGGTTTCATTTGTCTGTGCCCACGGTTTCTATTTTATTTCCTTACAAGCAGCAAAACAGAAACAAAATTTCAACTTTTCTTTTTCCCCATTTCCTTTCCTTTTGACCACTGTTCATGTCCTGCAACAAGCATTTAATTTATGTTTTTGGATTTGTTATGTTTTGTTTCTTTCATTAAAAAAGTTCTACGAGGCCTAGTGTTTGTGACTGTTGGAACACAAGTGGCCCTGGGTGTGCTGTCCCTCGGGCGTTCTGTTGGGGACCCACTGTGGCTTTATGGCTGCGCCTGCCAGAGCACCGGAAACCACGGCTCCCGGGTGGGCGGCCATGGAGTGTCCTGCTGCCAGGGCTCCGCAGTCCCCTCCCCGCACAGAGAGGCTACGGGCTTTCTCTGTTCCTCTCGGCACATCACATGTGTAAAGCCTTCTTAACATAAAAACTAATTTTTATTCTTAAGACTGAATTCAAAGAACACTAGAATAGTAGGAATATTTACTCTTCAAACTCATGTAATAACAAAGATGGTATTAGAATTTCACATAGTCTCTAAAAGACCTCCTGTACTGTGGGGACAAAAAAGGGATGAGATGACACAATTTTCCAGATTAAGTTAGCTCACCTTACTCTCTTCGGCAGATCTTAAAAATGTGCTACACAGCCATTCTTTTAAGATTCTACAAAGGTTAAGAAAAATTTGTTATCCTCACAGGAGAAGGAAAGTGGCTCATTTCTTGGGAATTATATGCAGAAAACCTGAAAAGTATAAATCTGTCAGTGATGTCATTGCTCCGAGCTGGAGGCTCCGGCTCCAAGGACAGGCTGTGGGCGCTCAGGCTTCTTGTCTACCCCTCTCTTTACTACGCAGACTTCTTGGTGTGGTAAAGTGACCATATGTTGTAGAGCCAGGGAAAAGGTGTAGCTTAAACACATAAGCTTCCGACACCCACCAGCACCCTCCACGAGAACTCATGAGGGAAGAGATGAGGGAGAGCCAGGTTCCGGGCTGGCCGGGCCACACGGGCCCAGGACTGAACGGGCGCTCTCCCCGGGGGCACCGTCCCCTTCACAGCTCCGGGAGCAGGCCCTTGCCCACCTGCTGCCAGCATGTTGGCTTGGACAGTAGTTTTTTGTCCCTTTACCTACTGGCATGGCTCCCTTCAAAGACCCCCAATCTATTGTCAATTTTTGCAGTTACTGTGGAAATTTTAAAGCCACTTTTGAACTTTCTGTGGCGACAACTGGTATTTCTAATCTGGAGCTATGATGAGGAAATCTCTGTTTCTTTAAGGTTTTTACATAAATTCAGGCTATTGGTTTGTATTCCCTTTTCTACCACTGTTACGTCATGGTGGCCCAGGGCCTGTCCCTCCTTGATTAAGCCCCTTTCACAGGAACCAACCTCCCACTTGTGTTTAAGAAAACAAAGGGGGGACCCATCCTTCCGCAGTGCCTTTGGCACACTTGTGTTGTGATCAGTGTTTCCTCTGCATATTTTCTAGTCATATGTATTTTCTTTTAACATGTAGTAACATTTAAAGCCCGAAACCTCTATGGCTGTTTAAAATTTCATTCCATTCCAGGATTTTTTGTGTTTTCCCAGAACCATTTAACCTAATCATGAGTTTGAGGTGCAGCCTTACCTCTTTCAGACCCCGCCAGCGGAGCCCAGACGCTCCGTGTCACTCTGGGCCACTCTGCGTTGTCCTAGGCTTCAGAACAAAATGGAATTTTGAAGCAGATCTGACTCCTCAGAAATCGTTTGATTTATATAAAATTTATATAAAACATTAACTACCCCTTAACCTTCCCGAGTCTCCATCTACCCGACACTATGTTGCATCAGTTCTTACTGGTCTTTGTTGTGACTTTGTCAAGTTCATGTAAAGCTAAAGCAAAAAGCATTCATTTTTAATTAATTTATCACAAGGACAGAGAAAGCAGCCTAGGTGCTGGTTGACCTGGATTGTCACTGGTTTTGGAGCTCCCTTCCTTACGGGCTGCCTCCCAGCCCGATTCTCAGAGGCCTTTCGGGAGTGGGCGCAGTGCCCGCCTGCCGTGCCTGTGGGCGCACTCTCTCCTCGAGGACAGCTGGGGTGGCTGTGGCATGCTGGGCGCTGTCCTGGGCACTGGAGTCCTTGAGAGCGCAGGGTTGTGCAGACAGGTGTAGGCAACAACTTCAAAACAGCCAGCGCTGTGTGGGAGGGAGCCGAGCGAGGTGCCTCCCACCCTGGTACAGGGCATGTCACAGTGGAAGTTCATCTGGAGGGTGAGGAAGGCAGAGTGTGAGGTACAAACTGTGTCGGGACAGGGACCCACCAGCGTGGCTGAGTGCGAGGTGGGGAGACGGTGGATGGGGGCCGGGAGGGGCCTTCTGTGCCCTGCCCAGGAATCTGCACCTTGCTTCTGAGGCTGTGACGGCCACTGCACAAGTAGCACCTAAGCGATACTGTGTGTTGTGTCATGATCCAGCTGGAATTAAATTGCTAACACCCAGTGTTCAAACACGCTTCCATCGAACCCCCGACCCCACACACCTCTCGTTTCTCAGCGAGGCTCGTAGGCTGGCTGGGCATCTTTCTCCAGTGAGATTTCCTTCCGGCCTCTGGGAGCTGGGAGGTGATGCTTCCTGGCAGGTCGTAGGGAATTCTTGAGAGCACACTTTTCGTAGTTACCGTGAAAGGAAGTCAGTCTGTGTGTGGGTTGCTGACAGCTGTGGTAGGCAGCCCGTGTGCAGTGTGATGGGTCCTTAGGGTGCTGGTGTGTGGAGTGTGAAGGATCAGGGTTTCAGTGAGAGGAGCGAGAGCTGAAAGGCAGCCAGAGAAGGTTCCAGGGGCAAAATCTGCGGGTCACATTGAAAGCAAAGGGACAGTCCCCCCACAGCTAACACGAGCTGAGCTCTTAGCCACGCACATACCTTCTCGTCTACATGGTGGCCGCTCTCAGTTTGACTGTCTTGGGATTTAAAATAAATTCATTTCATGTGCTGGTGTCAGGCTGTCACCTTAATTTATATCTACACTTACAGGACTTAGAGATTGTTGTCATATCCACAGCCCACGGAAGTTCTGTTTAGAAATTAGCTTTTTTAATTTTCTATTTATTACTGTTGTGCTTTGCATATTTCAAAGCAGTTATACTTTTTTGGACCAATTTGATTCTCCCAGAAGCCCTATGAAGTAAGGAGGTCAGAGATGGTTAATCCCCATATCAAAGATGAAACAAAAGCTCAGGAAGGTAAACTGCCTGTCCCAAAGCTGCACACCTAGAACACGTTTTCCTCGGGCCTGAAGTGATGGAAGCAAGCAGGAGCTCACACTTTAAGTAGCATCCAGCGTGAGGTCCAAGGTCCTTAGCCAGGGATTTTGCTGATTGCTGAGGAGGCCTTTACAAAGTGTAGAAACTGTGGCACCATGGATTCTGGAAGGCGGTGTAATATTGACATTGCCTGTTATTGCTTGTCTCTCCCATTAGACTATGGCCTCCTTGAGTTCAGGAATTCTGTCCATTGGTTTAATCCCCAGGACCTTACAAGGTGCTTAGCACAGAGAAGACACTAATGAGTGTTCATTGTAGTTTGCTGGATTCAAACCCTTGACCTGCAGTTAATAGCCGCAGGAATTTCTCAGGTGTCTACTGAACCACAGACTGGGATTCATATCACCTTTGGACTATTGCGTACCTGAAATGAAATGAGAAAATATATCCAGCACAGTGCCTAGCACACCATAGTCACTAACTAAATGTTGATTGTGTATTTATTTAAAACTTTCATGGTTTGTTAGTTGAGTTGAAACATAATTTAAGCAGCTGCATTTAAGCCTTTTAAGCAGTGACATTGAAATTACCCACGTGGAGTCAAATACCTGCCTTTTCACTATTTAAAAATATTGTTATCCTCAATTCTTCAGTTTTCCCAAGATACAAAATAGATATTTAAGTCCTCTGAAGATCAGTAATCAGAATAATTTCCTCCATGGCAGTGAGGGGCTCAAGTCCGTTTAACAAGCATTTACAGGGAATTCTTAGGTAGACCAGTCGTATGTTCCATGCTGCTCGACTTGTAGCTTTCGGCTGTTGGAGATACAGCCACGAAAAGACCCACGGCTGAGGGGACCTCAGTTTCTGAACTCTGTTTGTCCTGATTCTATTTTTTATGTATACTCAGTAGTCTTTTTACTTATTCCATTAATTTTATTGACAATTATTGATAATTATGAACAGTTAGTAACAATGAAGCCAAGCTTTGTCTGGATACAGGGCCACACAGTGATCTGTGACCACGGATATTCTAAGTAAACACAGTGAGCTTTTAAGGGGATAAACCAATTGTGAGTAGAGCAGTGGCCTTTAAAAGTGTGAACCTTATTAGATCTCTAAATAAGTAAGGTCTACCTAACATTATTTCCAAGTGAAACTATATAATTTTGAGAATATTTTGGTCCCATAAAATTAAGATGGGCGAACGCATTTAATAAATATGTCCAGTAGCTGCATTCATCACCTAGGCGTGCTATGCCTTTATTTAGTGCTTTTGCCACTGCTACTGATGCTAAGCTGTCCATAGTTTGTAGAAATGGTCCCTTAGGTTATGAAGAGCCAGTGAGGGGACAGTGCTCATTGTCTCATTCTATAGATGAGAAACTAAGACACAAAGAACCAACTCGTCAGCAGCAGCGGCACTGCCGTCACTCCCTTTATTACAGTTTTAGGAATTTCAGGCCCCTTATAATTAAAACGAAGGCAAGGAAGCTCCTCACAGTGGTTACATTTGCCGTCACACTGCCGTCACAGGTGATACTGCGGGAATGCAAGGCCCTTGGGCCGCACCCTGCCTCGTCTCTGTTACTGCTCTCAGGTTCCACGTCCAGTGGGCTCTCTGCTGACCGTCCCCAGGTGGGCTGTCCTCCGGAGCCTCCTGCATCATAAGCCTCGCCCCTCTCTGCACCCCTCGTGGTGGCAGCATTTTAACCGGGTGTACGTCAGTGTGCAGGGCCGAGCACTTCAGGCCACGGGGAGCACGCCAAGCTCATCTCAGCGTCAGCTGTCTGAGTACTTCCTATCGAGGTTCCTCGTTCCACAGTGAACGTGTGAACGCTGAAAGCGTGTACATGGCTTATTGGTTTGATTTTCTGGGGGAAAATACACTGTAGATAGGCTCACAAGAGACAAGTCGATGTAACTGCTAATATTTTGATTTAAGTATTTTAGAGACTCTTATGGTTAAAATAGCTCGTTAACTGATAGGAAGTATCGTGGATGAAGAGTGTAGTTCCTGGCCCGCCTGTCCTCCCCTTCCTACCCTGTCATGACCGTAAACACTGCGGAATGGGCTTATCAGCCGTGTAATGACAGTCTAAGCAACGTGCGTTTAGCGCCTGAACCTGCCACAGGACCGATTTGTGTACCTGGTGATTTTAGTTTGGTCACCAAATGTTGCATCTTACAGGCTCACAGGGACACCAGTACAGTGATTTCATGTACTTTTTTTAATGTTTATATTAGTTTTCAAAATGGTTTTGCTTCCTAACCCTCCCATTATATGAAGCCTGTCACTTTGAAAGTCACAGACTGCAGACTGGTAAGTCCATCAGCTCTGTCATTGTCATCATCGCACTTTCCGTTCCAGTGGACACGTGGCCATCGCACAGTGTTCTCCTTAACCGCAGTATCTCCAGTCTGAGAATTTATTATTTTTTAAATATGTAAATACATTCATTCACTTGCCAAACAACATTTTTTGTCGTTTTCCTTTCTGAGCTGATTCAGATTCCAGAGCATACACTCATGTTGAACATTTTTTCACGGACACTTTTTGCTTTTAAAATCAACTTGCATTTGTGTGGTGCTCGCTTTTCGTTTGTTTCTTTGTGTTTTGCTTTCAGAGTAGCTTGTGGTGAAGATACATTTAAGTTGAAACGTAGGTGGAATATCTGAGCCCTTCTGCAGGTCACCCTGCCCCACAAACGCACTGTGATGCGGAGTGTGCAGGTTTCACGTTAACATTTTGAGATGCAGAACCGTTTCTGTACATACCTGTCAGAAACTTAGGAGAAGAGAACAAGTTTAAACCTTCAGGGGGTTTCTAAAATGTTGCCAAACCCATGCTGCTACATTTAACAGAAATCGGGGTGTTAAGACCCCAGTGTTCTTTTCCGACAAAGAAACGTGCTTCTCTCTGCAAAGCGCATGGTCTGTGAGCTTGAGAGAGGCCGTGCGAGGGCTGCGGGCCTGGGGGCGCTGCGCCGCCTGGGGCCGGTGGGCAGGGC